TCTTTATTATCACTGTTATATTTATATAGCTATTTTTAGTAATGAAACATCCCTGAGTGGCATACAGTGCAACATCTGCGTCAAGCAGTGATTGTCATTTACAAAGCATGAAATTTAAAAAGGAAAGAAGAGGACTGGGTCTGCAACACACTGTTCCTAATGGATGTCAGAGATAGGAATTAATTTCTAGAGCGGAGGCAGAAAGTGCTGGGACAGGTTGGTAGGTGTAAATACATTATTTTGTTATTGCCAGGGAAAAGCAAGCTGTTCTGTCTCAGGTTTCCATTTCCTATGTGCTTAGACATAATGTATTTGGACAAAAACCTCTTTCATGTTTCAGTTTGATCTCATTGCCCAGTGCTATATTCCTGGGATGTCCAACAGACAATGACTCTGAAAATAGGAACCAGCTTCCAGGCTGGAACTTGGCTCTTCTGGAAACAGCACAATCAATGCAGAGTCAGGAGGAAGTAGGATGGGAGGAGCCTGAACATCTTTCAAATGTGCCTTGTAGCACAGTTTTAGAGGGGGTGAAAAAGACAACAAGGAAAAGAGCCATCAGCTGCACATCTCTGTGCTGCCTGACCAATTTGTGAGACTGCAGCCTTGGAGCAGCTCCCACAGTCTTGTGGTGGGAGGCTGAGATGCCAGAGCACAAGAGCAGCTTTGCACCCTCTTTGTGTAGAAGTCGTCATGTCAGAAATCCCTGCAAACTATCCCAAAGGGAAATGTACACCTGTGCAAGCTGCCACCATGAAAATGAACAAAGAAAATCACATAATAAAGCTCATCTTCATGGACAGGTCTGGTAGCTGCTCCACCTGGAGCACCATAACCTGGCACAGGCATCGAGACAGCATTGGCGCCCAAGGCACAACACAAGGAATAAACTGATCCCTGTGAAATGGAGCTGAAATGAACAATGGGAAGCAAGAGGTAAAAGCCTTAAAATGCAAGTATGAGAATAACATCTGACTTGTGCTCTGCAAAGCTCAAAGGGGACCTCTTAACACCAAGGGCATGTGACTTTATGAGGGGTTGAGCACCTTCTGCGTGGTGCTGAGATGCCTCCATTTTTAGTTAGAGCTAAGGGAGCCTGACAACTCGCAGAATCAATTCCTAAATGCCGCCTATCACAAATCAATCAAAACATAGACATTGCATTTGGAAACAAGTTGCCTCAACTGAGTGCCTTCTATCACCCTTTTTTCCCCTAGCAACCGCTAAAGCAATCTTTCCATTAGAAGGAAATATGACTCTTGGAATTCTTTATACAAAGAGCTGGCAAGTGATGTTTACACCAAAATTAAGTGTCTGTGGTAGTGTGACGAACAGTTTACATCTGCTTTCTTGATGCCAAGGATAATTTAGATCAATGTGGTTGAATTACCTGAGACCAATGCTTGAAGTAGAATATTCAATACATGCTTCAAATATCCTTTTGTTAAAGATCCCAGGTTAATCGATCATTAAAAAATGTGTCCCATTTGAAAAGCTTGTCACTAAAAAAATCAACAAACATGACCAATTGCTACAGAGAGCAGATGTGACAAATCCTAGTTTTAGAGATTAATTGAAGGGCTACGGATACTAGTGTGGACTAATGAAAACCAAGAATAAATAAAGTGCAGCACTAATATTTTCTGAAATGCATCTTGTGAGTGCATTATGCAGTTATTTACTCAAATTCATGCTATTTTATTATTTAAAGTCTATGGATAACTTGAACATATGAAATCCAATATCAAGAATTTGAAATTCTGAGTATAAATAACTATGTATCAAAACAAACAACAAAAATCCAGCCTGTAGCATGTGATCATTATTTATTGGTCTAAACTCGGTCAATGAAAGGCAAAAGAGGTACTACTTTACCTATGTGGCCAATCCCAAATCACAGAAAATTAAATAAAATTTATCAGCCTTAGTTACCACAAATAAATAATGTATGAGAATGAATTTTTATTTTCCAAATAAACAACAAGGTTATTTGCTCAAATTCTGTAAAAGTAGTAACAAAAATAGAGCAAGCTGTTGATAATTAACCATATTATTAAGATAAAAATTTGTTTGGCAATATTTGGAATTGTTTGTACGGGCTATTGCCTATCATTAACAATGAAGATTTTATATATCAGCATCTTAATTTTTTTAGGACAAAAAGCAAGAATCCATTTTCATTCCAGGACTGAATACTGCTACATCTATGGTCTCTGGCAAGTCATTTAACTTCTTTTCCTTCATTTCCACATCTTCAAAAAGTGGCAGTAATCATTACTGATTGAAAAGGTCATGAGGTTGCAGTGATGTAAGAATAGTGCTTTAAAGATTAAAAGCCCTGCAGATAATGATTAAATAATGTTTTTTTTCACTGGTGACCTCCATTTGGTTTTCTTGACTAAGACATAAGTAAAAAATCACAAGGACTGATTAGCATATTTGAGGAGAACAAAAGATTTTCAAGATGTAACACGTAATTGTGAGGAACTATTTATAAGCATGACAAACCTCTTTATTATCAGCACTAAGAACAGTAATATTTATCACATATTCTATATTCCTGTGCGTTGGCTAAATATGTTACTTTTGACATACTGAAAATAAGTTTATAAAGGATTTCAAATAAATATAAATGTGTGTTCTTATGTTGGAAAAGACAAGGAAAACATGAATCCCCTACAGTTAAAACTGAGCACTTCTAGGGTTCACTTTGACTTGATTTTTTTCCCAAATAAAATCACACAAGCAGTACATAAATATAGTTAATTAAGTCTTTTGATATTAGAAGAAGTTGGAGTTTGGCGTCCTTTCCATGGATTTGCCATGTAAAAGGGGCTGCAAACAGGTAAATCACCTCATAAGGGAATGCCAGTCTTAGGGTTTAAGTAGTATAAAGAAGCATCAAGAGTAATGCTTTATTATGTTAACTGAAGAGATTTTAATGTAATCAGTAGAGATCAGAAAATGTGCTCTGAATTTCGAGCAAAAAAGGTATTTTAGAAATTGCTGTTCTATAGGACTAAGTGATTTTGAAGAGTATGTCATGTTTGCACAAAATTATCAGCACAAATAACTTGGCTGTGCAGATTTTTAGTTTGTTCTTTTTGAAGTTGTAATAGACCTACAGAGAAACATGTATTAGCTGAGAGTTTGTAACTGCTCTTGTATCTGGCCTGGCATTGCTAAAACAGAGCAAACAAATGTTGATACTGTCTAGACTGGATTCTGTCATGAAACATGTATGTAAAATTGCAAACCGGCTGATGGATGGCAAGGTAAAACTCCACAAAGTACTTGGAATAGTCTGTGAATTATTTGGTCATGCAGAAACGGGAACAGAGGATGGAGACCAGAGCTGTGCGAGTCTGCTGGAAAAGCTGGAGGCATTATCACTGTAACAAACCAAGTTTCTGCACCCACCCTGGGGCCCAGCCATGTCCCTGTGGGTTCCCTGTGAGTTCCCTGTGACACCACTCTGCCATGCAGCCTTGGCAGATGGTGGGTCCTTTGGCCTCCCTGACAACATGCTCCTCCTTGCCTTGCCTCAGTTTGCACTAACTTCTACATGATATGAAATAAAGAAATGTATCTACTCATGATCCTGCCTCCACTTCATTTCTTCTCTACTGCCTGCTTCCTCTTATTTCTGCTCTATTCCCTCCACTGGTGTCCCCAGAGGAGAGTTCTCTGAAAAAGTTCACAACAGGTAGAAATTGTGGTAAGGGCAGAGCCATAGCAGAAACTGAACCCCTCTTCCATAGCTAAAAAGTCTATGTTTTGTATCTCTGGCAGAATCCAAATACATTAATCATGACTGCTAATTAAACTTAATTAATCCACAAGATTAAGTCCATGGCAGTCTTCTACTCCCCTCTGTGTTTGCCTTTGGTTTTGCAAGCAAATGCACAAAAGTCAATTCAGAGACAGACAAAAAGAAAGCCCCAATCCTTTGCCCCCCTCCTGAAGCGCATCTAAAATCAGCCCTATATATGTATATATACATGGTTATATCCATACATACATGCCTGTGTATGTAACATACATATACGTATGTGTGTATTGGAAACCATCAGTCTCATCTAGATGATGGCTGTGTCAGAAACAGTGATAGTTATATCTGCCTTTGTAACCATGGACATTGCTTGCTTTGACTTTCCTCCTCCTTCCCTCCCCTCCTCCCTCTGCCACTACTCTTCAGAGCTACATTTTAGGCTTCCTATGGTTTTCACTTAGTTCACTACATGTCTTGCCACTGAGTTCAGCAAAAACCAAACCAAGCCTTGCAACTACTTTTCAAAGCAGTACATAAAAATAAAATAATGTGTGGAATCAGAAAAATGTATGTGTGGGGTAGTCTACATTTTTACTCTGTGTTTCAGAAACTTTACTGACATCAGGCCCTACAGTGTTCACTTTATATATGCTCTATCCCTGTAACAGGGAGAAAATAAAAAAAGAAACCTTTTCCTCTCTCCACTAAAATAATCCAGACAAGGCTTTTTCACCATTGATACATTCCTGATGTTTCATTTATAGACTGCACACATGCACTACATTACACATATCTCAGAAGTGATCCTGTCATTACACATCGGCAGCTGATAATTTAACTCTGACTGGCAAAGCAAATCTTGATTGCCCAAAGTAAATCTAATACATTACTTGGAGAGTAAGAAATGCATGACAGCTGGGCTGAGCATCCTTTAAAAGTAGGCATGGGATTTTTAAGCTACAGCATGTATGCATATAATACCTACATATATATATATATATATATATAAAAGTATATAGCACATATATATATATATGTGTATTCCATACATGCACCATAATTTCCAAGACAGCTACAAACTTCCACATGCATTAAACTATCTAAAAACATAGAAATAGGCAAGTCTAATAAGTGGATTTTTCTTAAATTATATTTGAACAATAAACAGCAAGAGTAATACTGCAAAGTACTGCTCTATTCTCATATATATCTACAATAAAATTCTAGGAACAGTTGTCTCCCAAAACATCCCCCAATAAAATAAAATAAAAAAAAAAGGTAACACCCAGTGTCCTATATTTGTATATTCATTGTCAGTTCAAAAATAAAAAAAAGTAAACAAAGAAAAGAGAAAAAAGACATCCCCACTCAGAGTTGCATATTTACATTCTTCAAACTGTAGCGGTGAAAAGTAATTCTATTAAGTGCAGGACATTCCTAGTGTTGCAGTAGTGACATTTTTAATAAGTTCTTCATGAAAACATTTCTTTTTGTCTTAATAGTGACGCATTCCATGACTACGTGAAAATTCTATTATCCCCTTCACTTGCAGCCAGTGGTTGAGTCTGGATTGAAAAGCTCCTTGTATAATGGAGGAAACAGTGTGTTCACTGTATCTGGATGAGATTGCTTAAATACCTGTAGTTTCTCTCCATGCAAGTTGCAAAGTGCAGTAATAGTTGGTATCTTGGCTATTAACTGTGAGACATTGAAATAAAAAGAAAAGGAACAAGGAGGAAGCAAATTTAGTATGAATTACAGTTTCCAAAATGTACTGCATTAACATCATGTTGGGTAACTGAACTGCAATACTCTGAACATCATGAAAACTACCCATCCAAAGGACCAGACATTGTTCTTACCGTAAGAAGCTAAAAACAATTGTCCTGGAAATTTTAGCCAAAATACATTTAAAAAGGAACTGCTTCCAGGGCTATTTTTTTAAGGCAGTCTCATTTTTGCTAGGGTACCAATTGAAAAGATCAGTGGATTGAACAAAAAATGGAGTAAGAGGGACCAGGGACTAGAGTAAAACAAGCCTTACTTCTATATATTGCAAGCACACAGTGTGCTGCTTTTAACTTGCATTACTGTGGGAATACATGGAGAAATAGCTACAAAAACCCCGTCACAATCGAGAAGTCCTCGGCTTTTCATTTTAACAATTTACCTTTGTCAAAGTCTCATCGTCGAGGTGGTTCTTCTGGATCACATGTTGAAGTGCAAAGTAAATCTTTTCCTGAAGCTTCTGGACCTTCCTTGGCTCTATTAACCAGGCTCGATCTGAGAAAAAGGAAAGCAAGAGCTAAAGACATGAATGCACAGATGTGGGGCATGCTCATGAATGAACACAGTGTCCCATGCTGGCAAGCATTCACAGCAATCATAATTCCCATGAGGAAGGACTGTGTGATAATTAAGACATGGTTTCAGAGGCAAAGTATCTTAATCCATTAAAGGATCACCTGAGAGTTTAATTAACAGATACAAAGTGTACAGGAACACAATGTTGGCTCTGCATCTCTTTGTTTAAACCAGGATGTTAGAAATAAAGATGTGAGTAGAAATGAAACAATGCCCAACCATTTTATTATTCCCTGTTGGTACAATCAGTGTTCTTCCAACTTCATACTGGCTAGGTGAAAAACATGTCATGTTATAGTGTCTTAATACATAAATAATAAACATATTGATCAAAACAGTTCTTTGAAAATAATAGAATATAATTATTTAAAAATTAAAATAAAATATATCTCATTATTTACTAGGCTAACGTTTTGAGACCAAATATTATATTCTGAATAAAAAGAAATTACTTCCTTCAAAAGAATTTCTTCAATAATTGAAAAGAATTATGAGTTGTTGCAATGTCTTGAAGTGCAAATTTCTCATTACTTAAAAATGTTCTCTTTTTAAACAACACAAAATAAAAGATTATCTGGCAGAATAATAGTTACAGACACAGTTGTTTGGAAACCTATATGGCTTCTACTGAACTCAAACCCCAAGTGTAGGAGGTTTTCCTTAAGTTCTATATTCTCACAAGTCATAGCTTCTGGAGACGAACATGCAGAAAGAGAAGTAGCAGACCCCAAGACAATCCCAAAGCCATTAACACAGTGTGTTTACAGCACCGTTAAACCTTCTGTTTTCCCATGCTGCAAACTTGTTTCTTCTCCCTCTCTTCCTCAATCCAGACCAATTCTTGGGTACAGATTTTAGGTTTCAAACAGGAAATAAGAAAATATATTTTATCACAGGGCATGAATCTTCATGTAAAAATTGAAAAGTGCATAAAAATCCCTTTCACTTTCAGAGCTTTCTTACCCATTCCCAGTTACTAAAATAATCCACAGAAATAATATAAGTTGACCATTTCAATAAGCATACATGCCACAGAGGCTGGAGTTGAATAGTATTTCATCACAGGAGGAGCAGAATTTTATCATTTTTCTGACTGTCTGTTGAGAGGGGTGTATGAAAAGTGTCCATCACTAAATACTGTGAGAAGAGACAAAACCAAACCTCTAGCTACTCAACAGATGATCAAGAAAAGAAAATAATCTTTTTGCAAAGCTTAGAGAATCATGCTCCCAGAAGGTAAGCCAATGGATCTTGTGCCACCAGTGGCCATAGAAGCAGAACTAGCTGAGACCATACACAGCATCTACACAAATAAGCACACAGTAATATTTATATGCCACAGCTTTGGTGCCAAATTTTATGCTATTGCAAAAACATGCCTTTCGATAGTGTTAAATGAAGGCCTATTGTGGGAGACTGGAGCTGAAAAGGTTTATCATAGAGAGCAATCCTTAAAGATTTATCTTTCTGTCACAAGAATAAGCTTAAAAATATACTGAAGCTGTTGGAAGAGAGGTTTAATCACTTATCTGTCATGGAGCATGCTGTATATAACACAAGAGTTCTTAAATTCATGACAAGAGCTAGGTGAAACTTTTACAATGGATATTAAGTTCATCTCCCAAAATGTGGTTTCTACCACTTGACAACCATCTGCAAATTTGGCTGGAATTCCCCAAGTACATCTAGTTATATTCACAAAAGTGCAGGTAAAAGTCAATAGCTACCTATACGGGACATAAGAAGCAGTGGTTCAATTCTGTACTTCTTTTGGGTTTTGAACTTGTGTATCTTTAAAGAGTGTACAGGCTAGAGAGTAGTGTAGGAAAGAAGATGAGGGACAACTTACAAAATCTGCTTTTGGAAAAAGAAAGATGGAAAAAAAGAACATGGCCAGTCAGAATTTCAGAAGAGGAACTGGCACACAGGGGGCAGCCAGGTTAGTGTCTTACCACCTGGTTCTAGCATGTTTGCAGGTGGAGATGCCTCTGCAACCTTTACTGGACTTCTGCAATATTTTAACCTTTAAAATCAGAAATCAAGTTAAAGAATCACCTCCAAGCAGAGTGGTTTTTTCCACCCGAAAGTGGAAAACCTGGATTTGTGCTCTGAATTAGTTGGAAAATAGGTCTGACACTGGGCTTTGCAACCTTAGCAATTGTATTAATGGATGTTCTTAGGTCCCTGTACTCCTGATGGGACCTTTCTGTTTCCTGTAAACTACGTAAACACTGAGATCAAGGATACAAGATCACATTTCAGGATGGTGGCTTCTGTAGAAAAGAAACTTGAGTATCCGTACTTCCCACAGGGAATCTCTGTGTACCTGTATTAGTGGATGAAAGGACTGGTGCAGGTACTTCTGTGAAGCAGTGCTTCATTTTTTAATTTTTACATATGTTCCCAAGATGAAACACTTTATTGTGAAGAAACCAAAACATCTAGTGTGGAAGGAAATGATTTCTTTCTCTATTGTTTACTGTTACCATTTTCATAAGAAAATCAATGGCAAATTTCAATGTCAGTTCAATCTGTACTGAGTTTCCCTGCCTTCCCACTCCCAAACTTAGCAGCCCAGCTGAAATGGGAATTATCTGCACAATCCAAATTTGCAGTCTTTTTGTGGAAGACAGATTGCTTTCACTCAGGTACATGCTGCTGCAGCCCATCATTTCTTTCTTATTGCATCTTCTATGACTAAAGATACACATGCTTACCGACTACAGAAATAAGCAGTCAGTGTGCACTTTTTTTTTTTTTGTTATTGTTAAAGGAATAGGAGACCCTGTATGTGTCCTCTTGCTAGCAAGTAGGAAAAAGCCAACTTGGATGTGAAATGGGGAACTGTGGATTGTTGAAATATTTCATCTTGTAGCACCACCTTCAACCCCAAAGCTTGATTATAGTGGAAAAAAAACCCTTGGAGTTGCCTCTACTTTTCTGTGCTACTTAGTGGAAACAGAAGCTGCTATTCATGAGACACCTAGCTCTGAAAGGCTGTATCAGGACTGATGTATACCAGGACTGAAGTGCATTACTAGAGTTAATGGAGAAGCTTTTACAACACATGCCTGCAATACAGCTGCCTCGAAGCCAGTGATGAGCTGCTAGCTTTTTCAATTACTTAGTACAGCTGCAAGAAGTAGAAATGAGTGTGGATACTCAGGCAACATGAACTGCTGGCAGAATGCAAGAGATTTTGGTGCTTTGCAAACTAAAGGGACATATGTAGAACTGCAGAGCTGAATCAGAAATTTTATGTCCATCTAATGCCTACATGCAGCTAAGCACATTTCATAAATTACTTGATCCAAAATCCATTAAAAGCAATGGGAAACTTTCCATCACTTAAATAGGTTTTGCCTAGGCCTAAGGCACAGGACAGTCTGAGGTGCTAGAAGCTTTCTGTGACCAGCTTTTGTTGAATAGGGCTATAACTTGTTCTTCCTTCCAAAATTACCTGGGAGACCGAAAAATGACTTCTTTTCAATTTCTAGAAATTACATAACTGAATTCTCTTTCTCTCTACAGATGAGATGCCTGCATCTGATCCAAAGTGCTTTGTAGTTAGCTTCAAAATGATCTTATTGTTTCTGTCTGTTCAGCTAACTCTTACTTTTCCTGTTCTAGCTGTAAGAAAATAAACTGAAAAGATAAAAACCTCCAGCTGTTGCTAAAGAGAAATACAGATCCTGCTTGCAAGGATCTCAGCATCATCTTCCTGCTTTCTTTGGCTTCATAATGTGAAGCCAGCTGGAAACACTGAAACAGTCTTCTGCAGTCTCTGTTAACATCTTACTGAAGAACTTCACAGCCCAGACCCCAAACAAATTTCCAGGTTGTCTTCAGCTTTTCACTGAGTCAGCCTGCTGAACAGGCCACTAATGCTAACCAAGAGCAAGCACTGGCTGCTCATCTCTGTCATGCTCACAGCTTTGGTCTTTTCAGACTGAGGGAGGGCTGTTGGACAGGGACTTATTGGGACACTGCAAGTCCCCTGTCCCAGAGGAAGTCACGGCATCTGGGGTACAGCACACAGGCAACTCTCACCCCTGAGGTGGAAACGATAGCTGTTTGGACTGTCCTCTCTGGAACATCCTGGCCTAACACCATGAAGGACCACCAGCTCAACCATTTCACCTGTGAGCAGATGACCACAAGAACTGCTCAAAGGGAAAATAAGAGGAGCAGAGTCCTTTCAGTAGGTGTCATTAATGATGACAATGAACATGTTGACACCATCTGTGCTAGTCTAATTCTGCCTAATGTAATCTCCACCACAGATGTGCAAAAGGGCAAAGTGACCTAGAGGAAGTCTTTAGCAGAACAAGCTGGAAAAAAAAATCATGGTGGGATTTTTTGTAAAGGCCTTTCAAGAGGTTACTCTTAGTGGGAACTGGGGGTCTACCTCCTCTGCAGCATGTTTAAAAATCCCACTCTGAACTGTGAGCTTATCTACTAGATCCACCTTCTGAGTAAATCAATCACAAAACCTCTTTTCTGTTGGTCAGACAGCCAGCAGTCATGGGGAGCATGCTTGCCTTGCAGAGTTATGATATATGAATACATGAAAAAGCATGTTGCCCCTGGAATAACCACCTCTCACCTAGAGCTAAATTATGGCAGGACCTCACACAGATTTTTACTGCTTATATTCTTATGCCAACAGTAAAAGCCCATCATAGTTAGGGACTATATAACCTACTCAGAGGTTTGAGGTCCCTGAAAATGCTAGGAGGAACATGTACCTCCTTGAGTACCATGCTTCTCTGTACGTGGTCTGGAGGAACATCAGCCTGTACTGCTTGTCCACACAATCTTGCTTCATGTCTGTTACCCCCACACTTTGGATCTATTTCCAGTATGTGTAATTCCTGACAGTCTACCAAAAAGAGAATGAGGTATATTTGGGTAATTCAGGTATTCTTCCATTACTTAATGCATTTGTCGTGTTTTACCCCCAGCCAGCAGCTAAGCACCACGCAGCCGCTCACTCACTCCCCCCCATTGAAAACAGCCACGTAGTCGTATTGTATCAAAACATAGCACTGTACCAGCTACTAGGAAGACAGTTAACTCTATCCCAGCTGAAACCAGGACAGCATTGCTTAATATTGCTTAAAACAGCTTAAAGAGCTGTTTAAGCAGGTAGAAATAGAGGTGGACAAGGATGAAAAAAAAATCATTGTGGTGTTTGGAATGAAAAATTACCTGGTGATATCAGAACAGCAGATGAAAACAAGGCAATCTCCTCCTCAGTCAGCTGTAAGGAACATAAATTCTTTGCAAAGTCAAATGCTTCATTCACCAGATCATCAGAACCTGCAGACCACAGAGGACAAAGTCAGTGCTAGAAATTTATCATCTATTTAACTTGCCATGAAAAGTGGATTGTTTTGATGTCAAAAAAAGTTGTTAGTGAATGTCTGTACTTCTAAACTAAGTGCCTTTCATCATCTATTAAAATTCCACTTACCCCCAAAATGTATCACTAAAATACCCACTGAAGCGCAAAGATTACAAAAAATTAGGGGCATGACCAGTACAAAAATTGCAGACATCTTAGAAGAGTGTTTTCTTCTCCCAGTGTAGAAAGAAATGCTATTTCTAAACTGATATTAAATTTAAGAGGTATGAATGACCAGTCCTAAATAAATTTCACATATATAATTTTATTAATTAGCAGTACAAATATTTCTGAAAATTTGTGAAAACACTATAAAGACCAAAATAAATCAACTAATGCACATTCATAAATGCTTTAAACCTGTAAAGTAGTGTCACATTTATCCATATGCAAATAAGAAAAATACATGCCTATATGATAAATATATACATTTGAAGCAAATATCTCTCTTTGAGTTTGCTCCGAATAAATTTTTGATAATGGCCAAAGACATCCATTTAGCTATTAACATTTCAGGTAGCACTCAATATCATGTTGAGAAATGACACAATTTTTTCAATACATGAATCTAAATGAGCTTAAAAATTTTAGGTGAAACAGTATTTTAGGTAAGTCCCTGTCTACATGTTGTACTAGTTCATCATTTTAGTCCCCTCATTGCTGGGGCTAAAACTGCCTTCTGCAGGACACAATTAGTGAGGGAGTGATTTGATATATCAAGCATAACTGAACTGTGAAGATAGACTGCTTGGCTCCTGCCATAAACTCACGTTTTATTAAAACTTCAGATGGCAGAGTAAGAAATTTATCTGAAAAACCCTCATGCTGCTCTTTTTTATTAGAGAAAAACACCTATCAACTGCTAGCAGCTAGTGGAGTCACCTTTTTCCTTTTTCAGTTCCAGCATAGAGATATAGAGGTTTGGGGATTCAACATTTACTAGAGATTTTCATTGTGGGTCACTATTTTCAGAAAGACAAATCTGTCACTATGTGGCTCAATGTAATCAGTTGAAAAGAAGAAGACCAACATACCCAAGGCTTTAAACATTTGCATCCCTCCATACTTTCCTTCAAACAGAACAGTATTGTTGAGTGGGTTGAAGGCACGGCACATTCTCACCAAAACGACTTCCAAGCAGCCTATCAGACACGAAAAAGAGCAAAAGTACCACACATTACTGCAAAACATCAGAATATAGGAAAATTCAAGAAAATATTTAGGAAGACATCAATCATTAGAAACATCATCAGGGATAGACATTCTTTGACGGCATCTAGATGTTATGTCTCTGAATGAGAGAAAAAATATTTATTTCTGCTTTAAGTATCAGAAAGCGGTAATTTCTGGTCCAGCCTAACCACCTTTTCTTTAGGTTGATCTTTCTCCCATTGCAGCAAATTGGCAGCCTGGTCTTAATCTGAATTTCGACCTGGGCAAATATTTTCAATTTGAAGTATTTTATCCTGAAAATTAGGCATTTATTGAAACTTCTTTTCAATAATGAACCTTTTTTTATACCAAAAAACCAGCTTCATTCAATGTGTATATAAATCCCAGCTTCATTTGGCTGAAGGGGGATAACATCACAAAGTGTTTTTAGAGAGAAAATAAAAGTTAAAGTACTGTCAAGAACACCTGTAAATTGGGTTCTACTTTTTTCCCCCTTGTTTTTCTTTCACGTTGGGAAATAGCCAAAGGAACTCTTCTTTTTTTCTCCTTATCTTTCCCTATATTTCCTAACTGCAAAAATACATGGTTTGGGAAAATGAAAGGAAAAATTTTAAGCATCCCTTAACTAAATCCAGATCTCCTGTAAGAATAACTCTGAATCTGAGCATTCTTTCGCAGACATGCTTTTGTGTGAAAAGTCCTGATTTTCTAACTCCTGCCCAGCATTAACAGCAAAACAGAAAATAAAACCTGACATATTTATACATGCTGAAGCTAAACAGAATTGTCTGACAGTACATCAAATATAACTCTATCTTTTGCTGAAGGTGCAGTTGTGTTGTTAGCTTTGCCAGCCAAATGAAGGAAGTTACTTGGGGTGCACTGGCATCTGCAGAATTTTCGAAATTAGTATGAGCTTTAAAAAAATGGTTCTTATGCTGTGACTCTGTTTTTCCAGGAGATTGCCTGCATGTTCCCAGGGTCTCTGCATCCCTTCTCTTTGCACCGCTGCCCACCACCTCAGTACAGCCCCACACTGAGCCAAAGCCCTCTGTGTACAGAGTGCTGAATCACACTTTCAGCCTTAATGAAGAGCTCTCTCTTGAAATAGGAAGCACTTCTTATGCTTTAATGAGCCGTCTCACACAGCATCCTGCCTTTTACACATGGAGGGAGCGAGAAACTGATATGACAGGGTAAATGCAGTTAATTACCAGTTGCAGTTCACTTGGTCATACCGTTTTGTCCTCCTGAGTTTGGCGGTGTTACTACACAGTCACGATAAATCTTGTCATGGTTCTTCCGGAGGACAGAAATTACCGAGTCCCGGGACAGGGAAGGAAACCCTTTTCCCCCCTTGCCCTTATGCACACACGTGCACACCCAGGCATGCACAGAGAGCACAGCCGGAGCACACTGCTGTAATCCGCTCTCATTTATTCTGAAACCAACTGGCACCAGCAGGGATTTTCCCCCCTGTGCACTGGCTGGAGGGTATTTCTGTAGTCTCATTAAAAAGATTAGAGATGACCACAGAGGCTGGCCCCGGTGAGCCTGCATTCGTTTCACTAATGACAAGTGGGGATTTTACAGGGTGGCAGATGACTCGTTCAACCGGCTCAATTCGCAGGGTCCTTCCACCACATGTCAGGTTGGAGACTGCATTTTCTGCAATGATTGTGTGCATGTGTGTACTTAATAATCACAGCCAACTGTAGAGGGAAAGGGATTCAGAAGGCAGTAACATGATTAATGTGGAAAAATACAGAAGAGTTAATGTAGTTAATGAAACAGACTGAAATCAGGGCTCCTTCAAAATTAAAATGATTTGCAGAATGAGACAGCAGGACACATTTCTAATGTGCTGGTTGCTAAACCTGTCTCAAGCCTCTGGTGTTTACCCACCTGACTTAAGGAGGAGAATTTGGTCATTCTGGCAGAGCTCCATGAAGCCTGTTATACGCTTCGCAAACTCCACCACGTACTGGATAGCGTGGGTGATCTGAATGGCACACTGCTGCCACAGAGCTTCTCTGGTCTTCCAGGAAAACACACACAGAAAAGCAAAGCAGTGAGCAAGCGGGTCCATCAGTGCATTAAGTTCTTCAGGTGGCCTTGCAGAAAGGCACACTCCTCAGACTCCACCCCATCCCCAGGCAGAGTTAGCAGCATCTCTGCTTCTCAAGGCACCCGACACTGTGCATTAGAAGGCTGTTTTCACAAGCCAATTGCCCCAGTGATCTGAACTCTGGCATTGCCTCTTCAAAGGGGGAGAACACATTGTCCAATACTAAAATGTGATTCTAACGTCGGCTTTTATGCAAGATAGAAAAACAGTGACACAAACGATGCAAACATCCCAGAGTACTCTTAAGGAAGAAGTGGCACAGTGTTATTAAGTTATCCAACAGAATATTTTTGCAAGTTTGAAACTTAAAATAATATATAATTAAAGTATCATTTCAGTCTGAACACTGATTGCATCAAAATTTTGTCTCCTTGATAATAATTTTCCTTACAGACACAAGTGTGTAAATGTAAATGGATGCTCTTGGTTTGCATGCCATAGCTCTGCAAGCTGTGGTGTGGTTTTTTTCTTGCTAGTACTGCATAGCTCCTCAGCTTTCAAAGAACAAGCTGGAGTCTCTTCTGTCTCTTGTGTGACCAGCTATGTGCCAATTCAAATCTGAGTGAAGAATCATTGCTAGTGATGCCGGCACAAGAGGCACAAAGATTTCTGTTGACTGGACTACATCTGAAAAGTTGCCAGTGGTGAATAGTCTGAATTTGACCTGAGAATCACAGAGGTAGAACAAAAATGTAGTGTAATGAGATCATTTTTTCACCCAGTTTTGAACAACTTCAATTTAAGGAGTACTTTCAGTTTGTCATTGTCTATTGTCTATAAGTGACAGATACTTATTATTTGCATGAAAAGGGGATGCGTTTTCAAAATTATAGGGAAACAAAGTTAGGTTGTCTTATTTTCTTAAAATCCTTACAACAGAGGATCCCATCCTGATCACATTGAAGACAACCGAATTTCTGCATGAAGTTTAGACGTGTGATAACAAGCAAAGCATGGAAAGCTGGATTCCATAACCATGCCTAAGTTTCGATATTAGCAAACATCCCAACATGCTGGAAAGCTGCTGCTCCTTTTTATGAAGTGTCACCTCTTTGCTTTTAGTAACCATCTCCTCAAAGATATTTAAAAGCCTATTTTGGCCTATGTGAAACTCATCAGTATATCCTTGCCAAGTACATTACAATTTCAAACCATAGGAAGCAGAAGAAAAAGCATATTACAGGATTGTACCTTGCTCTGGTAAACCTTAATTTCTTCATATGTGTGGGTCTGCCATGCTAGCTGGTGTAGTTCCTCCATTGTATATTGACATGTCTCCAAATGAGATTTAATGATATTCTGTGCAATTCGATCTGCAAAGAGGAGAATAAAAAATAGCTTCCATGAAACAGTGAACAGTGATTTGCAATAGCAAAATATTGGAAACATTATAAAGTTGTTGGAAAATGCAGATTTTAAAAATAAATATTTTCTTTCCAATGCTACCTTTCTCTTCTTTTTTCATTTCCGAAGATGACTGTTGCAAAATATTTCAGTATTCAACCCAAAGCCAAATGATGCTTGATAAATAGTGGATTTGCATGTGAGAATAACAACAAATTTTGGGAAAATATTCAGATTCTTTTATTCTGAAAGTGATTTTTTTTTTTCTGTGTTTAAATACATGTCATTTGGAGACCCTGGTTACTTGACCACTTCTGTCTGCTCCAAGCCTGTGCAGCTGCCCAGCTCTGAATGCTCAATCCTGACGGCATTTTCATTACCTTGGGGTGACTCATATCAGAGAAAAAGGAAACAAGCCTCTTCTCTTTTTTCTCAAGTTTTCAGCTGGGTCAATTTCTGATTTAGCTTGATGAACACAAACATTGAGAATGGTGCTAGCAAGGGGTGAAAGCTAGAACTAGTACGCTGGGTTTTAGAAGGTGGGATGGGGGGTAATAGATCTCACATACAGGATTAAGTTACTTTAAATTCATTCTGAAATTGCAGCCTTAGAAACTATTGTGTAACATGGAATGCAGGATGCAAGGGGAAAAGGAAACATTCAGCGCTGTCCTGAGATCCTACTGAAACGAAGAGTAAACTTCTCAGGGGAGTATTTTAAAGTAGATCTTTGCCCTTTAAGCAACCTGAGTGGATTAAAAAGATTTTCACAAGAACTTCTAGCATGAATTCATTAGCACTGGAAATTGAAATGTCTTGATAAAACATGCTATAGAAATATGATGATTTCTTATTTTGCAGCTTTGAGATGTATATGTCTATATGAAGCTCAGTGCTTCAGCCTGAAGACATTGCTTAAGCTGAATACCTTTTAAACAACGGAGCAAAGTTGAAGTCACAGAACTGAACTGAAGCCCTTGTGGCAGAACTGTCATTTCGCAGGAAACATGTTTGTCAAAAAAGGAAAGGACATTGAAAATGCATTAGCCAAACCTGAGCATGGGAATTAGAAAGAACTAGGAATGTCATAATTTACTCATTCACATCCTCAGCCGTTTGCATACAGCAGGTGTATCTGGTGCTTGGAGTCCCAAAAGAAGCCTGTTTCTTTGGCCAAATTTTGACTGAATTTAAAAACACCAGCAAGATGGAAAGCTGAAAAATGAATGTAAACATGCATATGCTCCCTGCAAACACTGCCATAGCAGTGTTATTTAAAGGAAAGATGCCTGCGCTACTTTCACAGTTAATAAGCTGAGACTCAGTGGAAAGGTGCTGAAAAAAACCACAAAAGAGTTCCAGGTTTTTGTAAGAACAATAAAACTTGCTCAATTCAATCTTTACAGGTATCTCTTTAAAGGTCAACACTGTCTTTAGGTTTTCTAATGGAAGAATTGACTCAAGCATAAAGATAACTAAAAGTTATCAGTATATTAGTGAGTACAGGAATCTATCCATTGGTTTTTTATGGAAGGTTGGATGCAAGTCTTAACCCATGATGGTAAGCTGTTGCCTTTCATAGTAAAAACCTTACAGATAAATGGGCATGTTCGAATAAAGGGATGATGAATTCAAATAGATTTTTTTTAAAGGATCAACAAATTTTTATTTGCATTTGTCTAACCAAGAAAAGCAAGGAAACCCCACCTTCCTTAGAAAGATAAATTTCAGATGTTTACCCCCATATTGCTCTATTTAAAGTACAGTTTTAACATCATCTTTCTGGAAACATCCTTAGCCATGATAAACCTGACTGCAGAAATTAAGCTCAAGGTATAGGTTTTATCACTTATGTTCCCGGAAGGATTTAACCAGACAGAACTGAGGTGTGGGCAGAGGAACATTTAAGCCTTTTATTCTAAACGCCAGTGAAAGAAGTATGATTTCAACTTGCATGACAATTCCGCAGCCTGAATGGTGAAGGATTTTGCTCTCTACACCCATTGGCTGGCCTTTTTCTCTCTCGTGCTTCCTAGCCCAGCTCTCCTAGACTCCTCATTTGTTACAACAGCTGGGACTATTCACACTCTTGTCATAAAGAAAATGCTTACCATAAACACCTCAAATACTTTAATATTACTGCATAGAGATTTTGAATCAGGCAAGGTGACCTGATGACAACAATCTGATTTCACTGACCTCAAAATATACCTGATTAGCAGTTTTTACATTACTGCAAAGATCCTCAGCTCCACTCCTTTTCCTACCATTTATGTATTTACCTTAGGACCGAAGAGCTGACAAACTCTTCAGAGTTTTGTAGGGATGGCATTCTGTGCTTTACCCCCATACATCTTTCCCTTATGTACTTGGGCTTATGTTGAGCTGACATTAAAACCCATTTAGATGTGTGAAGGCCTAGGGCAATTGCAGCAAGCAGCAGCTCCGAATGCTGACATCCAGAGACGAATCAGGTGCAAGACAGACTTGAAACTCTTGGGCCGCAGGCTAGGCAAGGCTGAGTGTGTGATGGAAAGGGTACACTGGGTCTCAGGGGAGGAGGGGACTGCTCATTCATCATAAGCAGCAGAGGAGGTTGCTTGCTTACACTCAATGGTGGAGTCCCTGGAAGGAGCTTTGTGCAAATATAGCATTAAACTGGCTGTACAGAGCTGACGTGATGCAAAAAGTAAAAGAAGTATAAGCTTGTCTTGGCTTCTTAGATGGTCCAGCAATAGAAGATCCAATCCAGGCAGAGCAAAGAACATCACTTTCAAAGGGTTTCAAAGACCACAGCCTTTTTTCTGGTGTTTTCAGATTTTAGCATCTTTTTGCTAATGACGTTGGAATCAGTACACGTATCGGCAAATCCCATGCAGAAAGAAGTTCCTAAACCACTGGGAATAATGTACTGACATCTAATGTAAACCTGTCCCGTCACATGGCACAGGTACTGTGTTGTACCCAAAACATGATACTTTTCTGTGAGACCTGACAGCTCTGAAGCGCTGCCGGAAGCTGAATTCAACAAATTAATTCTTTTAGTAGAACAAGAAGGAAAGAGACGATGAGGAAAGAAAGCAAATGTTTTCATACAGCAAGAGGAGAGCTATTGCCTTGATGCAGAGGCTGTGACCTCAACTGTATGGAGGTACCCTGCTGGGGTGATGCTCAACAGCTATGTCCCTCCTGTTCTCCAGGCTAGAAGAGCCCACCACAGGTACTCCACACATCAAGTCTTGACTTTTGTTCATTTTGTTTTCAAAAATCTTGAGCCAGAGATTTCAAGGGTCCCCTTACACTGGGAAGTTGCATGGACAAGTTGCATGGACACAACTAGGAATCCTGTTTGGATGGGCTGCAAGGACTATAAAAGGCAACTCCATTTTAGTGACCTCAATGTGAACTGCATTTCTGCTTGAAATGTTGCCAGCCTCCATTTTACATAATTTACAGCAGGTTTGCAAGGTTTGCTTTATGAAAAGGAAAACAAAAGAGATGATGCTGGCCACTCAGGTGTGAGAATCAAAGTCTGCAACATTTTATTTTACAAGCACCAACTGCTGCAACTGTTGAGTGAAAATTAATAATTCCAACTGAAAGAATACTGAGCCTGCATGATAGTACACCACCAGCATTATAATAACTACAGTTCTAAACTGCAAGATTTATAAAGCTTATCTGTTATAGTATGTAAACACAAGTGTAGATTAGGTGCTTCATTCCTCCCCTTTTGTCTATATACTGGGTTTATTATATTAGGGCTATATCTCCTACCATGAATCATGATCACTTGGATACTACATGATACCATGGGGAATCTGAAAGCCACACCATATCTTGGTAGATTGATTCCATCTGGGAAACATGGCCCACAGAAAATGACATGTTCCCAGTGTCTGAATTCTAGAATGCACTGTGACATGGAACCATTTACATTAGATAGCTTGGCTCTAAATTTGAAGATTTCTTAATATTGGTACTTTGAAATTTTTCATGGAAAGCAGACACTTCTTGTAAAAATGCTATGTTTCATTAAAAAAAAAAATCTAGAAAAAGTATTTGCTTTCAGAGAGATAAACCAGAAGCAACATACTCAATCAAGAAAACAGTAACCAATATGAGGTCTTGAAAATCGGAAATACTCAAACAAGTTACATCCTGGAATGACCACTTACATTTCATTTCTGTCTTGCATATATCTGACTGGTTTTATATAATGGCCCACTATTCTAGCTGTAGAGTCTCGTCCATTCTTAGGGGTGACAATAAAACCTAGATATTTTTGGTTGGCGTGGCCCAAGAGTAGAAACCCGAGAGGTTGGGTTGGCCTCTGTGCCCTGCTATGGTGGGAATGCTGCCCTTCCTGTCACAGCAGCTTGGGTACTGCTGGTGGGGCCCTGAAAGGTGCCAGCTAGATGGAGACATAAATTAATTGGTATTTTGCAATGCAGCAGTGTAAAAAAAAAGTCAAATGCGTAGTAGGACATGTCCAGAAGAAGCTGAAAATTGTACGTCAGGAAGCTCAAGGATTATCTGTCAAAAAGATTTGTTCTCATTCAGAGAAAAAAATTGTGGGTTTCTTGAAAGAAATACTGTGTGTGTGTATGTAATTTTATGGTCTGTGATATGCAACTTGTGAGAAAAGATGACCTCAACACCTATGACTAGATGGAGCAACAAAAATGTAACAGAAAGATGTACACGTACTGAGGGTGAAACAGAGGCTGTACAACATGCAAGGGAGCATAGTAACAGAATAAATAAACATCTACAGAGTGTGCTCTTGGGCTTGTGGCTCGATGGTTAGAAATTAGACTGTTGAGGCCAATACCTGAAAGAGGCCACATGCAAATATTAATGGGAACTGTCCTGAAGCATAATGAGGGATCTCACTGGTGCTAACATAATTTAATGAAGCTATCAGGGAAGAGCAGCATCTGACAGGTGAAATGTGGAATAGGGAACA